GCTGTTGTCGCCCTGTTGATGACATCAGCGATGCGGTTTAATCGGGCGCGCTTTAGTCGAGCGTGGTTTTGTCGTGCCATGAATTAAGACTACATTCAGCTAAGAGTACTTTATTAGCCCATAAATATCCATCACTCAATTGCCAATATTTTATAAGACAAATATAATATAAAGTATATGATATAAAGCAGTGGTCAGTCTTGATAGACCCAAGAGACCATCAAAGGATCTATCCAAGGATAAATGGCTGGAGAGCAAAAGGGGAGTCAGTAAATATTTGGGGGTCAATAGGGGATTGATAAATAATGAAAAGTAAATTGGGGTTAGTTAATCTTTTGGGGTCTCTGTAGAGTCCCAGGCAGTGCTGAAATTCATTTTTTTTTTACTACTGGTTCTGTGTGCATGGCTTGGTGGGCGTGGCAAGGGAAGGATACTGCAAAATCCCAATTCCCACCCTGCTCCAGTGGGAGGATACTGTAAAATCCACATTCCCTCCCCACTCCCGGGGAAAGGATATTGCAAAATCTCCATTCTCTCATCACTCTGGGGCCAGCTAGAGGTGGTATTTGCCAGTTTTCCAAACTACTCAAAATTTCCACTACTGGTTCTCCAGAACCTGAGTTCTGAATTTCACCCCTGGTCCCAGGTCTTGAAAATGAGATGGCTAACATAGTGGTAAGACTCAACCATCAACTAAAGCAACCTTGAGTTGTCTCTCTTTATTATAACAAATTATTATGGTTTGTCACACAGTCAGCCAAACGTTTAGACTGGATTTGGTATTTTTATCCACCTACTGAGTCCTTTCCCAGGATCTGAAATAGGCAGATGTTGTTTGATGGTGTTAAAGATATTGTCATAGGATATAACTGGTTTCAGGTAAAGCTGCCTTTTGCAATTGACCAATGGTGATTTTGTCAATGCTGATTGTGTTCAAGTGGTGCTCCAGTTGTTTTGGGATTGTATCCAAGATGCCTATTACCTATATTGGTACTGTCTTTGCTTTCTTTTGCCACAGTTGTTCTATTTGTAAGTGTTTTAGTTTTGTGATTTAANATATAAGTCTAACTGCTATTGCTATAACTGCTATTGCTATTTAATTAATCTTAAAGGTTTTATTTCTGATGCAGACAATCTCAGGATTTCTAGCTTGACATTTCCATCATATATTCCCAGCAAACATTGGTGTTTGAGGTAAGAAATCCAAATAGCATGGAGTATTACCACAAATGGGGAAAGATATACCAGAATATAATCATTGGACTGTGATCCAATATATGCCTACCAATGTAGTTTAGCTTGACAAATGCAGTACTGGAATGCTAGATATGAGTTTTCCTTGGTTGAGGAACTTTGGGATTGGAAGAAGCCTGTGTGGAACTAGAACAGGTGTTATCTAGATTGTCAACAAACCGTATTCAATAATCAATCTAATCAAGGGGAGAAGCAACCTAGAACTAAGGAGAAATTTCCTGACAGAACAATTAATCAGTGGAACAACTTGTCTTCAGAAGTTGTGGATGCTCCAATACTGGAAGTTTTCAAGAAGATTTTGGATAACCATTTGTCCGAAGTGGTGTAGGGTTTCCTGCCTAAGCAGCGGGGTGGACTATAAGACATCCAAGGTCCCTTCCAACTCTGTTTTTCTATTTTCTATTTTCTATTCCATTCACAATTAAGAGGGAAGGGCTAGTCTCTGCCATCACTCCTGTCCCATTTGCCCTGCCCTACACATTACAGAAGTCCTAATCCTAGTCCCATCCTAATTGCCTGGGAGACTCCATATAAGAAAAGAGAGATTTGTTAGGAAAAAGAAACTCCTTGGCAGACATCTTCCCATGCACACTGATAGGGCTAGTTAGCAGTGGCTATTCTCCTGCTTCACAAGGTTGCAATTGAGCAAGTAGCTCCAACACAGGGTTAGTCCTGGCTTTGAATTCCTACTCACAGTAGTTGTGCTATGTGTTCAGTAATCAAAGCTGCATTTCATCTTTCTCACAAGATAGATATGGTAGTTGGAAGGATACAACAGGAAGAAACATGCTTACTATCCCAATCTCTTTGGAGGTATAAAATAAGATGGTTCAATAGTCTATGGCAGTGGCTCTTAACCTGGGCTGTGATGTTATTTCAGGGGGTCCACAAACGCTTAACGAAATGTTATGATTTAAATCTTGAGTTAAGGCAGGGGTGCCCAAACTTGGGAACTTTAAGACTTGTGGTCTTCAACTCCCAGAATTCCCCAGCCACCCCAGAGTTAAGTCTTTGGGGGGGGGGGTGTCCGTGGCCACAAAAGGTATTTAAAGGGGTCTGTGGTGAAGAAAATATTAGGGAACCACTGGCCTATGTATGATACTAACAACAGCCAAAATATTGCCAAATTCAGTTGCTGAAATGCAAATTCGGTGACTCCCCACTTTCAGAGTAGCCACTAGATGGCATCAAGTTATAGTGTTCAAATATTGCAGAGAAAGGGTAGAACATTCTCTTCATCAATTACTGTATTGGAGTTCTTAAAACAATAATATGGGGCTACCACTTAATGAGAAGGAAGGACTCACTGGAGAAGAGCCTAATGCTGGGAAAGATTAAGGGCAAAAGAAGAAAGGGACAATAGAGAAGGAGGTGGCTGGATGGAGCCACCGAAGCAGTCGGCGTGATCTTGAATGGACTCCAGAGGATGGTAGAGGACAGGAAGGCCTGGAGGAACATGGTCCATGGGGTCACAATGGGTAGGATACGACTTCTTCGGAACTAACAACCACCACCATATCTAAAAATCCATTAAACCACTAGATGGCACACAAGAGTCAGGATATTTTTTTTTACAGTTTTATTGCTCCCTCCCTCTCTTCCTCTTCCTTCTGTCTCCCAAGCTCTGACAGCAGATGATAACAGTACAGGTAAGCAATTTATAGATTTTAGATATTTTCTAGGAGAAGTATTACGTGCTGTTACCAGGACTGAGAATTAATAAGTGCTAATCAAATACATGGAGCATTAATTTATGTAGATTAGAGATATCTTTAAAAGACACTCAAAAAATCTAGTGATTTTCAGCAAATACATTGTTTTCATTAGTATGAAATTCAAAATCTATTATTCTGAGATGTACTCAATTAAGAAGAGATTTTTCATTCTGATATTTGGAGATCTTTTTTTTAAAAAAAAAAAGCTGTCCTCTTCTTCAAGTTACCGTATGTCATTATTTTTGTATAATATACATACAATTCATTTTCTTTCTGTCAAATTATGCTTTGGGCATTTTCATTTATTCCTTGGTTAGTATCCAGAAAACTAAGCTTCATTCGTGTTCAAAGTAGCCTTCTCTAACCAATTGCCCTTCTTACATGTTGGATTTGGACTCTCAAATCCAGATAATATGGACCGGACTATCAGAAAGGTACTGAGTTGGGAAAGGTTGGTCCAGAAGATGGAATTAGCAGCAAATGTTGGATATCAGGACAGGGCTTTGATTTAGAAAATAAA